TTACTAAATTGGAAAATGTGCAGGTAAAAAAATGCTACAAAAGATGGCAAGCATTGAGGACAGAGAGATGGCCAGGGCTTAAAGGAAAGATCAGCAACTGGATCAAACCATCTGAGCACATTGGCAGTGTCTACAATTTTAACATCTACTGAACAAAGTCAGAGTCCTGGTGCCAACAATTCTTATTGACACTGACCTTTTTTAAATACCACAGTTTACTAAAAGCATAATTCAAAATAGAACAGGGTAGAAGTGAAAAAACATGGAATGAAAATTGATTAAAAGATAAAAATACCATTTTCATTTTCCATCTTAACCTACTGTTTGGTTAAGTAAACAAAATGTAAAGGTGCCTTTCCACACGGATCAGCTCAGTTGCATGTATGGCTATCATTAAAGGGATCATCTCTTTGGAGCTTTTTGAATAGGCCCACAGAATCACATTCAGCTACACACACAGTTCCTAAATCTCATCCTCTAAAAGAGTCACTGGGATTCCTGGCATTGGTAGAGGCTCTCTCAGAAGATATTTTACATGTTGATTATCTGACCAATTTGTGAGACTCAAGTTTCCCCTGGCTATGCCAAATGGTCAAATTTAATAGTATATGCTTTAAGATTACAGGCTGTTGCTCTTTCATGAGTTGTCTTTATCCCACAAAGATCAGATTATAAGGATACCTTATAATTATAAAGCCCAGAATATGAAACCAGTAAGCAGCTAGGTGAAAAGTCTCAAATACTTCCTTCCTTCTGTCAGGAACCTCTGACCAGTGCTGAAATGTAACTATAATGTCAACTTTTCCATGAACTGACAGAGGAATACACTAGAAGAAAAACTAGCCACCTGCCCTGCATGAATTTTATTTGATTTGCAAATATGACTCCAAAACTAAAGAAAATTATAGAAAGATATTTTTTTTGGGGGGGGGGTAACCAGGGATTGAACTCGGGGGCACTCAACCACTGAGCCACATCCCCAACCCTACTTTGTATTTTTATTTAGAGACAAGGTCTCAATGAATTGCTTAGCACCTCGCTGTTGCTGAGGCCAGCTTTGAACTTGAGATCCTCCTAACTCAGCCTCCCGAGCCACTGGGATTACAGGCATGTGCCACCATACCAGGCCAGATAGATCTTAAGTAAGTTACAAACTAGATCTCAGAACTACCTTTAACAGTCTGAACTAATTATTCTCTTTTTGGCATATTTTATCCAAAAATTTAGTATGTTCTGTTCAACAAACATCAAAACACTGGCATATTTTATATAAGAGATTCCTTCTAGATACCAGCAAGTCATTAAAAAAAAAATCTATCCAGATCTTGTTATAAACTGTATATTCTTCCTTGCAGAAAGATTAATATAATGGTAGAGCACAATTAACATTAATTTTGGAATGACAGAATTCAAGTGACAGAGTTCACTGAATTCAAAGACAGAGTTCAAGTCCTGACAGTATAATGAGGAAAGCTCCATCACCGAGTCAATAACAGAATTAGGGTTGTTATGAGAGTTCAATCAGTAAATAGGTACAAAGCAATCAGAATACATGGTAAACCCTCAAGAAAAAATAGTTATACTATTTTCTATCGTAATTATCTGATTTAAAGTGAAGATTACATGGGATTTGCAACAAGGTCATAAATTCTAACAAGACTCAACCCAAGATTATCCTGCCTACCTACCTTTTGGCAACTTTTATTTGTTCAATGATACTACCAAAAAAATTTAATACAACTAAATTAATTAGAAAAACCCAATAATCAATTCCTCTTCTCAGAAGCTCCACAAAATATGGTGGCAGATATAACTGAAAGGAGCTGTAGAACGAAAAAAAAAAAGTATGGTGGCAGATACAACTGAAAGGAGCTAATGCCCCTGAATTGTATACCTAGAAATGACGAATTTTATATTAGATGCATTTTTCCAAAATTTAAAAAAAAAAAAGTAAAAGCAAAAAAAAAAATTTAATGAAAAAACTGGAACAAAAATGGACAGATCTGGGGTTGGGGATTTAGCCCAGTGGCAGAGCGCTTGCCTAGCATTTTGCGTAAGGCCCTGGGTTCGGTCCTCAGCCCTGTAAAAAACAATTACTAAAAAAAAAACAATTACTAAAAAAAAATGGACAGATCTAATAGAGCTGGTCAACTGTCAAAAGTAGAATCTAGATGGTAAGTATATGAATATGCACTTTCAATTTTTCTCTTTGAAGAGTTTCACAATAAAATATTACATGAAGAAAACAATGCTGGCACCCAAAGGTTTGCTTCTATTATCATCTACTAGTCAGAAACAATAGCAACTTGAGTGCAGTGGCATACACCTGTTGTCTCAGCACTTAAGAGGTTGAGGTGGGGAATCATTTGAGCCCAGGATTTGAAGACTAGCCTGGGAATACATCGATGTCCCACCTCAAAAATAAATAAATAAAAATAATAGCAGATTTTCAGATAATTGCCTCCTTTTCTGGGGAATTTTAAGAAGCACCTTTTATCAGTCATATCCCCTTTTATTATAGCCATCCTGAAAATAAAAACACTTGAAATTTCTTAATCAGTGTGTGTGTGTGTGTGTGTGTGTATGTGTGTGTATCTACATATTTACATACACACACGTATATATGGCCCCAAGTTAGTTAGTCCAAGGTACCAATTGCCAAGTATTTAATCTCTCCTGAAGAAATGCAGAAACCAAGTCAAAAGAGATTTCTGTGCCCAATTATTGACCAAACAAAACAGTGGAAAGGCTAGAATTTCAACACTAGGGAATCAACCCAGGGCTTCCCACATGCTAAACCAAGCACTCTACCAAGAGATACATCCCAACCCTTTTTTTTTTTCTTCTTCTTTTCCCCCCCTTTAATTTGAAACAGGTTCTTACAAAATTGCTCTAGTTGGCCTTGAACTTCCTATCCTACTGCCTTGATCTCACAAGTGTCTGGGATTACAGGCAAATTTGAGACTAAAAGCAAGTTATACCACACCAGGCCAAAGGCTAGAACTAGATTATCTGTTCCTAACTTTTTCATTAGATGCTAAAGCCATTAAATCCCTTAATCAGAAGTACTACCAGCATCTTGATAGGTACCCAATATATGGGAGCAAACTGAGAATATACTGAATTTATGCTGAATAAATACCTCTGAAACTTTAAAATGATATCCAATTCTTCCTCTCATTTTGTTTCCGATTCCTACTGGTAATTGAGATTTTAACATATTTCATGCTCACAACAAAAACAGCATGTGGTACCCCAATTTTTTTTTTTTAATCAGACCACCTCACATCCATTAAGATGATTCTACTGAGAATACAGAAAATAACAAATATTGGCCAGGATGTGAAGAAATTGGAATCCTTATGCAGTACTAAGGGGATTGTAAAATGTTGTAGTCACTATGAAAAACAGTATGACAAGGCTAGGGGATGTAGCTCAGAGTCAAGAGGTTGCCTAGCATGACAATGCCCTGGATTCAATCCCCAGCACCTCAAAAAGGAAAACAAAACAAAACAAAACAAAAACAAACCAGTATGGTGACAATTCCACTTCTGGGCATATACCAGGAAGAACTGAAAGCTAAGTCTCAAAGAGATATTTGTACACCCATGTTCACAGCAGCAATATTCATAATAGCTAAAATTTGGAAACAACCCCAAATGTTCCTAGAGATGAGTGGATAAGAAAATGTGGTGTATACATAAGGGAATATTATTCAACCTTTAAAAGGCAATTTGGACACATGCTACAACGTGGATGAATCTTGAAAAAAAATCACAAAAAGACAAATACTATATGATACCATTTAGATGAGGTAATTAGAGAAGTCAAAGAAAGATAGAAAATAGGATGGTGGATGCCAGAGGTTAGGGGAAGAAGGGAATGGGGAGGTGCTGTTTAATGAGTACAGAATTCAGTTTTGCAAATGCAAAGAGTCCTGAAGATGGATGGTGGTGATGGTTGCACAACATGAATGCACTTAATACCACTGAACTGTACACTTAAAAAATGGTTAAGATGTTAAATTTTGTTTTATGTATTTTACCACAATAAAAATAAAATCAGAGAAGAGAACTGATCTCCTCAGAAAGCCTGGCGATGCTCCCTAGGGACTGATTTCACATGCCACCAACTCCTGTGGCTATTAAACCATGTCAACCTCTAACCACCTCATGAGACCTTGTCTCCTCACACTCTCCATCCTGTCCAGGGCCACACCAAGTGTTAATTTCAGCTCAAAAAACCAACAGTACTCCTGTTCCACCAGTTTTGTGTCAAAGCAGCAAGGAACTTAATCTCTGTAAACCTGCCTCCTCTTTAAAACAAGGATAATTCCCACCTACCTGCCTCACAAGGTTGTTATGAGGGTAAAAGTGAGATCATGTATATAAAAGTAGCTTTAAACTGCCAAGCACCAAAGAAACACAAATTAAGTTTATAACTACCTTCATATGGAAATCCAGAAGGAGCTTTTAACAACATAAGCTTCACAAATACCAGCTTGCAACACCTCGCCCATGCTTCCATTTAAAACCCACATCATCTCCAAATGACACCTTTGTTTTTGTTATAAACTGAAGGGCAGCATGGGAAGGGGGGCAAATAACCTAAAGCATTTTAACTAACCGACCACCAAAAACGCAATCAAAAATTACCCTACTTGTCCTATGAAAGTTGAATATTTATGACCAGCATAGGCCTGCAACACCCAGGGACTACACTTCCCACAAAGCACTGAGGCGAACCGGGGCAGCAGACGGGCGACCTGGGATTCAGGGTGACCACCCCTCTCCGAAAGCAAGCACCAAGGTCCCCGGAAAACTGCAACGCTTAGGGTCGAGTATGCTCTGGTTCTCCTTTATGACAGCGCTGTCACCCCGTGGTTTCTCCTGTGACTAGCAGAGCGACCCTCTAGGCCCTTCTGCCCTCCCGGCTCCTACTAAGGGTCACCGCCTCTCCGTGACCTTTCGACTGATTTCTAGTGTGTCACAGAAAGGCACCTTCTCCCCCTCCTGGAAGCTCCATTTCCAGAACTCGCCCAACAGTCAAGACCGGGGAGGAGTAGAGGCATGGCAGGGTCAGACTGGACCGT